TTAGGCAAGGATAATATTTGCTCAATTATTTAAAGCACTTAATCTTTTCAAAGTTCTCTTTTTACTTTTAAAAATAGCCTTTATTTTTTCAGATTAAAAGTAGTAATGCTGATTGAGTAAAATTCTACATACAAAAAACATCCACAAAGAAAGAAAAAAAAACTATCTGTAATCCCACTACCCAAAGAAAACCACTTTCAACATTTAGATGTAGTCTCTTCCAGTAATTTTCTATGTGTGCATGTATACACAAAATCAGGATCCTACTGTCATATCTAACTTTCTCAAGGAGTGTAACAGTATTTTTTGGAGGCAGATGGAGCAGACATTTTTATCATAATTTACATGATGACAACACTGGAATCTAAAGATACATATCTAACTAATGACAGAGCTAGGACTAGAATCGTGAATCTTTTCATTATACCAGGCTCCTGCTGCTTCCCATGAGGCCCCCTAATGAGGTGGTATATCAGGAAAAGTTGTATATCAATCTAGCATAGTAGGACATGGGTTTGTAACTGGCTGTGCTCCCTCAGGAAAGGGACAGATTTAAGCTGATCCTGTGTCCGTATCACGGTTGTGCAGTGCACAAGGAGCACTGTCTAACCTTTTGAAGGGGAGCAAGAATGAAGTACCTAGGACCTTAGTCCTGTGATAGGCTGACTACTGAAGCTAGGCAGGCACCATTATGATTCAGTTTCTTTCCAATGGTCAAATGACATCTGATCAACAGTGGCTTGGCTCAGATGCTGTTGCTATGGGAATCACAACCATAGGTTTAATCCCACCATAGACTAGTGAGTTGTACTATAATCCATGACCCCTTGACTGTATTCCAGAACAATGTACACAGCAGGTGTTCAATAAGTGTGCGCTGGGTTGAACCGAATGTTTCTTGTTATTCAGCGGGAGCAGTCAGCAACAAAGAATGCTGACAGCAAATATAAATATCCCACCACTAGGCTCAATATAGAAAAGTCAGTCCAATGTGGACTTGTTTTCTATTTCATTCTAAACAGAGGACTGAATTGTAACCCTTCAAATACACACACCAGACTGTTAGTTCTGTGGATGAGGGAACTGTATCTTATTTATCTGCATGTCCCAAAAATACCTAGCACAGAACCAGACACATTTGAAGTGTTAATGTTTCTGTAATTGAATTATATTTGCTAGGCTGGCGTGGGAGTGAATAAGATGTTTACTAGTAATTCACCATTCCTTTCCCTGAGAGTTCTATAAATCGAGCTCTTAAAAAAAAGCAGCAAGCTAAATTCCCAAACCCTCTCTTAGGAGAATGTCCACGCCTGGTGGGGTCTGGACTATGTCCACTGAATGTGCAGATCCCTTATGCACAAACATCACTTACTCCCACGGGAGCCCAGGACTGGCGGGCTGGCTGTGGAGGCTCACACGTTCCCTCTTTCCCAATGGCACGGGGGTCAGGGGAAAAGGGTGGGAGTTGATTGACGAAGCACTGCTGAACTAAATGTTCTCCTCTTCCCAGGAGAAGGAAAATCTCCCAGAAGGAGGAGAGTTGGCACTTTTCTGGGGGAAGAACCATAAAGAACATGGATATCATTGAGAATGATCTTTTCCGAGGACAAGTTTTTTCTCTTACCTTAGACTGGGAAATGGCCTTGCCGGAGCTCGGCTGCAATCCTACAGACTGGGGTTGAAGCTGACTGAGTCAGTGGCAGGGGTGAGGAGCCATTAGGCCATGATCCTAACTTTTACAACATTTATCCTAGAACATTAACAAAAGCAAAAGCAAAATGATATTTTCTAATAAAAACCTTTCCTGAACTGTACTGAGCTAGGTTTGAACGAGCTGGAAGAGAAAATACTGATTTTTCTGGGAGGCAACCAAAACATAACTCAGTAATCCCCTAAGCTCTTAACAAATTCTCCTGAAGATTTAATCACAATATAAAATCTGCAAGTTTTTATTGGCAGTGTTTGGTTATGTACAGCCCTCCGAAGTGGCACCCTGTGCAATTCCCAGGCCTACCTCCACTACACATTCCAGCGACTGCTGGCAAGCACCATCAGGTCAGTGCCCTGGTCTGGCCTAGGACATTTTTTTCCAGGGGACTTAGGACACACTCCCCAGCTGCCAAGTTCTCCACTTATAAGGTGCAGAATTTATTAGTGCAAAGAAAGATAAAAAGAAAGACTGCTACCTTTTTAAGTGCTTTTACACATGGTTTCTTTATTAGAGCTTGGTGTTTCCAGAAACACAGCTGCCCAGCTCATTTGTGCTAAATCCGTGGGATGTGTTTTAGCTTCCTATGAACTTCTGTGAGCTCTGCTACTGCCACCATCAGTGCAGGTCTCTCGTGCCATGCTTTCAAGGGAAGTCACCTGCAGCAACGCTCATTTGAAAAAACAAAGCCAGGAAGACTTGTGTCTTTAACCTATATAGGGTCCTGCTTTGGAACCCAGGTTTGTCCACTTCTGGAAATCAAGCCTGTCTGGTCACCCAAAGGCCATCTTTTTCTAGCCTAGGTTTTCTTCTCTCAAATTCCTTAAAATGCCTGTTTTCCATCTCCAGACCCAATTCTGAGGTGAACGTTGACCTCAAACCATAGTACAGATGCAACAGAGAGTACGGCATGAAGTAGTGCAGCTCGAGGGAAAAATAGGATTGGAAGTGATAAACTCTGAGACTTCCAGCTCTTGCTACCTATCTGACTTTAGATAAATCCCTTAATAATCTTAGTTTCTCTTTAGCAAAATAAGTATAGTCATACTACCAGACTCTCTTCAAGCAACTATGACAGTGTAATTATTTTATTTGCATGTTTAGTTACTTCCCATTTCTCAGTATACCTCACTAGATTATAAACTCCAAGAGTTCCTTGTCTCTGGTTCATCACAGTGGCCCACTGCACATCATCAGGAAGAGTGAATAAGATTTGAATGAGTGAAGGAAGAAATAAAGTAAGAAGGAAAGACAGGAAAAAGGAAAGGGGAGAGAGAGGACAGAGTGTTCAGAACATTACTGATGTACCATATATGAAAGTGCTCTGTAAATTAAATATTATCCACATTATTAAAGAAATTATTACTCACATTTGATGCATTGGTTACACGAGGGTGATCTTTCTAAATGTTACTTCTCTGCGCAAAACTGTCCAATGGCTTTCATACTACTTACCGTAAAAGTCAAACTCTTGATCCATGGACAAAGACTATGGGGGGACGGTGAGGACTGGATGTAGGAGTTGGGGGTGGGTAGGGTAGGGGATAGTAATGGGGGGATATGGGGACAACTTTAAATAAACAACAATAAAAAATAAAAATAAAAATAAATAAAACAATACAAAAAACAAGCAGCCCTATGTGATCTGACTTCGGCGGGCCTCCTGCCCAGCCAGTCTCCACTTCTCTGCCAGGTTCCCATTGCTCCCCTGTTCTTGGGATTCCTCAAACAGGCCCGCAGTGAAGCCTTTGTGCTAGCCTCGTCCCTCCCTGCAAGCTCTCCTGCCAAATCCTCATGGCTGGCTCCTTCTTGTCATTGGAATCTTCACCTTCAATGCCACCTCAGAGAAGCCAGCCTTCCTTGTGTGTGCACTCAAAGGGAGACTCCCCGACCCCCGTCACAGTGCTCTCTCTGTCGCTTACACGTCTGCTTTCCTATTACTGATCTCCTCCTCACTGCCTGGTGATTAAGAAGTGGTTTCATGTAGCATTACATTTGTTTAAGCTATTTTTCTACGTATTATTCTCCACAAGTTTATGAGCTCAAAACAAACACCAAAACCTAAGATTCCAAACAGCAATTTCCCTTCCCACCCCTCCACACCCAGCCCCTGAACACTCTGAGCGAGGTATCCTGGCCCTGTGAAAAACAGCAACTGTGCCAGGCAGTTTTAGTGTTGTGATTTAATTAAAGTGATGTGCTATCATTGATACAGTGATGCAATGATACAATCCTAGAGGGATTGTTGTGAGACATGGAAACGGTACTGTTGGGTGGCAAGCTGTCGTCTGTTCTATGCTCGGAGGCCTCCTGGTTCAGGCCTGGGAATATGTGGGGGGAAGCAAACGGCAGAAACACTCACTGGTTCCAATAGGTTTGTTTCCTGTGGACCCTGGGGGAACAGCACTTCTGTAGAAAGAGCACTGGGCCAGGGCACGGGACAGGCTCTAGAGCTGGCTCTACCTGCCGTATTCCCGCTCCCCCCACCCTCCAGCTATCAGTCCCTCTGTCACAGGAGGCAAAACTAGGTCATCTCGAAGAGAGATCCTAGATCTGACATTCTATGGGTTAATGAGAGGAGTCCGACCTTGCATTGTGACCAAGATGTCTGTGAAAAGGATGGACCACGTAATATTTCTGATAAGCACAGCTTTTCTAGAATAAGTGGGATTTCTCTAACAGGTCCGTCACCAGACAAACCCAGACCTCTGCTCTTGCCATTCTTTCGTTTTCTATTTCCTTTGCTTTGCCAGAGAAACTGGTGCTCTGGGCAGATCTCCTCATTCTCACATAGGGATCAACATCTGACTCTAAGTGTGCTTCACTCAGCCACTCTCCAAGAGATGGGCTCCTACTGTATCTGATCTTGGAAAGCCCTCTCCCATCTGCTTTCAACATGTTGCATCTGACATTAACTAATGTCTCCTATTAGCATTAAAGAACACAATCTGGAAAAATTCACTCTCTAGCAGAGTTCAAACGGGCCACAAGTAGATGTGGAATCTCAATTGCACAAGGCTTCTTAAAATTATAGTAGTAAATAAATACACAAATATATTATATATAAATGTATATATGTATGTGTCACGTGTATGCATACATGCACATATAGAGGTATGTGGGAGTGGTGGGTGGGGAAGCTGAAAGTCTGTGCAATGGGTCAAGAATGCTTCTGTCTAATTTATGAAATTAACTGATAACAGAAGAAAAACTCCCTCAGTGTGGAGCAAGGCACGATCAAAGGAACTGAATGACATGGGAAAAGAGCTGGGAATCTTTATCTCACACTTACTGGTAATGGGTTAAAATTCTGGTCCACGAGGTGATTGTATCCATGGTCAAAAAATGAGTGCCGTATCACAACATCAATGCCCTGATTGGCCAGCATTCCTAAAGTGTTCAACCATCTAAAAAGCAGGGGGAAAAAGCTACATCAATATATTTAAAATGGCATATAACAAGCTCTACAGAGACTGGCTAACACACTAACCCCCCACCACCAAATTTACCTCGAACTTTAAAGGAGAAGATTATTTCAAGCATTGAATAAACAGCTGGAAGCAATTTTAGAGATTATCAAACCTAACCTCCCATTTTATAGGAAAAGAAACAGAAGTCCAGGAGAGTAAAATGAATTGCCCTTGATCATAAAGTAGCTTATCGATAATGACTTGTATCTTATTCCTGTAATATAGAAAAATAAAACGAACACCCTACCCACTTGTAAGCCTTATTATTGTCCCCTGGCCACAGGATGCTCAATCACAGAAATACACACACTGTCCTTCCCATCACTTAAACTCTGCTTATACCCTATCACTGTACACGCACCTTTTGTGTGTCCCTAACTCAAACAGTCCTTTGGCCTGTGCAACAGTGGTCCACTTGTTTGTATTGCTCATGTATTACCATCAGCAATCAATGCAATAATAGTTGTCCTAGGTACTATAACTAACTATACAGGGATTCAAGTATGCTATTATCACATATGAATCATAGTGGAGGACCTGCATTGCCCAGACACTCATCACATACCCCACTATGCCCAATACCTACTTTCCAGGGCATGCTGGACTACAAAAGTACTATTATCTAGGTTCTTTCAACAACCATGCTAACTCTGCATTCATTATTTACAAATTCAGTTCATTCATTCACTCATGAATTAGTTTACTTCTCTTTGTACTTCTACTTCTGAAACTTAGGGAAACTTCTAATTGTAATACTACATACGTAAGAAGAACTTCAGTCATCTCAGTGTAGAAAAGAAGTCATTTCACAGTCTTTCCTGAGCATATGTGTCTAGCTTAATCTTCACCTCTTGTTTCCCCTTCTCTTACCCTAAACTCGATTCCCTAGGCTCTCAGCCACATAAAACTGCTCTTGGCTGCCCCAATGCACCACGCCTTCACATGCTTACCTGAGGCTTTATACATGTTTTAACTTCTGCTCAGTATTCACTTTCTGTCTTCCTCTAACCCACCTCATTTGGCAAATTTCTCTCCATCTGTTAATCTCCAAATTAAGCGTCTCCTCCTTCTAACTTCTGCTGCCCTGGTCAACAGTAATACCTTCCTCCTCTGTACTTCCCAGAACTCTTATTCATACCCTCCGCCAGCCCACTAAATGGTATTCAGTTGCTTACTTCTCTGCCATCTCCCAGCTGGTTATAAACTCATCAGGAACAGACATACGTGTTAGCTTTGTACTCAAAACATCCCACCAGAGTTCCCAGTACACTGTAGATATTCAATTGTCTTTATCACGTTGAAATTGATCTGGATCAAATTAGATTCTAGGAACTTTAAGAATCACCATTCAGCATACTAGGGACAAATTATGCATAGTTATGATTTCCCCAAACTCAAACCATATGAAACTCCAAACAAGTGACCTACAGAATTAAGATGTTTCCTTACTGCAATAAAGAGCATTGCTAATTTTTATATTATGAATGCATATCATTGATATTTTCAAATATTTTTCACATTGACACTTATATGTTATTCTCATAAAAACTAGAAAATCTTTGCTGATAATTAGAGTTCCAAACACAAAGCAAAACAAACCACAGAAACAAAAGTTTTAAATGAAAAAGAAAATGTAATGATAATATGATAGAACCTTTCCTGTTGTTGTTCTATCAGGAAGAAGTCATAGCCCAGGGAATTAAAATTTCTTTTAGAATATCACATGGTTAAGCTACTTGCCTTTATTATTGTTATTAACTTAGCAACCTTGTGCAATCAGGATAACAAGTTTAGCTTTTCCTTGGAGACACAGTATTAAAGGCCTTGGGATAGAACCATAACATGCATTTTGGGTAGAGACCTCCTAAAGCAGTGTTCTTTCAATGAGAAAATAGCACACATACAATATAGTCTATTCTAACAAGTTTTTATCTATAAAAACAATGTGTCTTCCCCTTTCTATCCCTATCTTTGTTGGAAGAATGAAGAAACAGACTGATGAGTAAATATATAATCACATATATATGAGTCCCTTTACCAAGCAGCTTCTGAATGTCAAAACAAGACCTTATTTTGGTATTTTTATATATAAAAAGAAACTGCTTGTTCATTTATTCTTCATTCAAGAGTATTAATTAATCAACTGTAAATGCCAGGCCTTCTCAGCATGGAGGATAGATTAAAAAACATGCTTGTGTGACCATGTAAGTCACTTGTAAAAAGCATTGGGTCTGGAAATGGCCTGTTCATATACATGCATTTACAGGGATGGTATCACATTTCTACTTGTGACCTTTTCAGAGCCTAGCACAGTGACCTGTAGAGATTGCATATGTGTATATACATAAAGTATATATACTAACTAACAAATAAAATGTTAATAAATTTGATTTTTTTGCTAGTACATAGGGAGTTTTTGAAGGAACTGTCATGTGAAAGGCAAGAATATGCACCCTCCTCTCCAAACCCACATCCTATATGGTATACACATCCCTGCAGAATTAAAAAATGACTATGACCAGAACCCCTGCTTTTCAGAGTGGATGGTTAGTAATGCAATTATCTTCATCTTCTTTCTGCAATAATAAGCTTCTGAGAAGGGAAAATAAATGATTTTCCAAGTCTCCCTTTTCTGCTCAAGCAGAGAAGGGTGGTGAGCTGACAGAAATACTGCACCAGGGATGCTACTGCAGGCATTATTTTCCTTTCCCCCAGAGCTTGCTGAATACCTGCAACGTACCAGGCACTGCTAGAAACTAGAGACTCAGAAGCATACCAGGGGTCTATGTAGTGCACCGAAGAGTCTCAAAGTGCTGATGGGAAAATTACCTTTGAATACTTGGCTGTAAAGAATTCTGATTCATGATCGCACAGGTATGTGTTCTAGTAAGCTCACAGTTATGCCATATATTGAAAAAAGGCTGAAAAATGACTTCTTTCCAATTTCTTGCTTTCTGGAACTTCCTATCATGCTTTACTTTTTTTTTCTAGAAAGCAATTTATACCTGAAGAGAAGTGAACTCAAAGGGCACAAAGCTGGGTAGCTGCCAGAGGAATTAAGAGCAAATGGGAGATAATAGTGTAAGAAAGAAGACCAGGAGCAGAACCAAGTACTTTTCATATGATCTGTGCTGACTAAGCAATAGTATCTGAACTACAACCAAAATCTAAACAATTCTGTTTATTTCTGTTCTGCAAACTGACTACGGAGATCTACAGATCCCTGGCATCAGGATGCTCACTAACAGACAGGTGTCTCTCTAGCTCCCTCCGTGAAGGTCTGTGGTATTTCTCTTTTCACATCACCCCTTGAAGGTAACAATGCTCATAAAAATACTCCATGAAACCGGGCTGCTTGCTGGGCTCTGCAGCAGTTCTCTTGCAAAGCTCTGCAAAAGCCATTCCACTGCTGATTCCAAGAGGTCCCCTGTAGTACTGACTGCCAATCTGGCTCCCTCCCGTTGCCCCAGGGCTCACAGTGAAGCCCAGTAGGAGTGTATTGTTGAAAGAGGACTCTGGGCAACACTGTATCACATGCTGATTCACTTCATTTCATTCATCTGAACCATGCTCATTAACAAGTGCTCTGTGCCACTCAGTGTGAGGGGACAAGGACACGTGAATGGAAGACCCAAGGTATCACAGTGTATTAACATTGACTCCTTATCTTCATCTGCATTTGTAGGATTCCACCTGGAAAGGCAATCTACTTGCCTGGTCTGATTTGTCCTCCATAAATGTATCAAAGAAGCTTCTTAGGACATCTTGCTCAAGCCAGGATCTTGGGACTAGACTAGACCAGATTACTGTGGTCCTGAGGGGCTTGTCCCTGCTGCGTGACAATGACAGGCCAGTGAGGGGCCCTTATTCTTCTGGCTTAAATTACTCTTCAGACAACTGCAGTAGCCTTCAGATTCATTTTCCTATCCCTTGCCTCTCCAAAGTCTTGAGTGTACTATCGCCAAAGTCAACATTTTAAAATACAGGTCAGATGGTGTCTCTCTCCTCCCCTAAAATCTTCACTGGCTTGCCAATGAAGAAGAAGGCCTCATTTTCTCTGCCAGGTTTTTAAGGCCTTCCATGATTTGATGGTAAACCCCTTCCCTAGTCTCAGCCCTTCTGTATCCCGGCAGATGCTGAGGCTTTTGTCACACTTATCATCCCTCTCCCCCATTCCTCCAGTTGAGAATGCTCCCCATCCCATCACTGCCACTCTCCACCAACAAAAACAAGTAATCTCTCTAGGTACCACTGAAATGCCACCTTCTCCATGAAGCCCTTCCTGATCCTCCCAGTGAGAGGAATTCTTGATTCCTTTGCATGTCTATCACTTTTCTTTTATAGACAGACCCTGGGAAGCAGAAGGACAGATGGTGTGACGTAGTGGCAGAGAGGCTGGACTCTGGAGCTGGCTGCTGGGGCTCCAGTCCAATCTCAGCAACTAACTAATAATAGCATCTATCTCACTGGGTTGTTATAAAGCAACAGTATCTATTTCACTGGCTGTTAAATTATTAACTATATATAAAGCACTTTAGATGGTGCTTGGCACATTGTAAGCACTGTAGAGTTAAAATTAGTATCATGGCATTTATCTTCTATGACTTTACTTATTTTACTTCTTGTAACCCTTCCTCCAATGTTCAGATTTTGGAGGGCTAAAATCCTGCGATGCTCCTTCCTATCTCCCATGAGTACGGTGAAAATTAGATGTGACAGTGTATGCTGTCAGTGCTATGGTTTGCATTGGAGACATTAAATATACTTCTTATTACTTTTATGACTATTGCTACTACTATTTTGTTCTGATGCTTGTGTCTGACATTTTAATATCTAAAGAAGTCCCTAATCACTGTCTAGTTAATGGTAAAATGCATTCACAAATAAATAAATAATTTATAATGAGAATAAAGAATTTTCAACAAGAACGAACTCTCCCCTCTCACGGGGCAGAATACCGAGCAACTGTCCCAGTTTCACTGTCCTTCCTCAAAGCGCCTGGGGGTGAAAGTGCAAGTGTTACTCACAAGAATCCTGCAGCATAGGAGTCTGATAGGTTGTTTGTGCCTCCAGCTGAGGTGGTTACCACACCTTCAAGCCAAATCTTCTTTCCTGGGGTGTATGTGTTAACCACCTGTCATACAACAAAAGCGGAAGGGGATAGTGAGGTTTTTAAAAGGTATTCCCAAATGAGAAAAAAAACACGTATTCCCTTAAGGAAATTCCTCCAGTCTCTTGTTCCCAGGTGGCAATGACCTGTGCTTTTTTTATGTTGATGCACCCTACACACAAGCATTAATATTGATACATGTCCGTTCAAAGAAATAACCATTTTTTCCTAAGTAAATCCAATACAACAAGAGAACAAGTGCATATTCCAGGACGTAAACTGACTGCAACACCCTTTATAGGAAAATATAAATCTGTGATATTTCCATATTAAAAAGTATTGAGAAGCAAGTTTTCTTAACACTCTGTTTCAGCACATCCATGGATGAGTGCACCGCCCAAGCATTATAAGCCATAAATCATGAGAAGGGGCAGAGATCAGTGTTCGGGGCAAGTATTTTATAATTAACAGGGCATGTATACATGTTATAGCCACATTTTGAAATAACTGCAGTGATGTAAGAAGAAAAAATCACTGACACACAGGTGAAAGATCCTATACAGGGAGCAGCCTTCTAAGCCAAGGCAGAGCCTCATGTCAAAAGGTGGCCCTCTGAAGTTTTGATGTGGTCCAGTTTCTTCTGATCCATGAGCTGGAGACTGGTCTGACTATCCTGGTCAGAGCTCAGAGCCTTCTTGAAGAAAACAATCTGGCAGTGCTTAGGGATGACATTGTACACTGTGTAGCCTCTTAAAGCAGAGCCTGAGACGAAGGCCTGTCTACAGGTAGTGCATTTGGGAAGTAATAACGGCAGGAATGAGGAACCGGGGACTGAAACAGGGAAGAAGGGAAAACCAGCACAGGAAGCACTTTTACGTTGGCAACAAATGCTGGCAACTTGTACTCTCCCACATGGATCTTGGTAAGAACATTATGAACTGTGTCTCAAAACTGTCTCCTAAAAGGGAAGAAGGGAGGTATTTATCCCTTGGCTTGTATTCTCCAAAGGTCAAGAGCAGCCCTGTGACTGTTACCCACCCCTCCCCAGCCCTGTGACTGTTATCCCCTTTCCCGCAGGAGCCCATTTCGTTATCTGGGCAGGAGGGCTGAGCAGGTTCCCAGTGTTCCCTGTCTTTGCCTTAGAGAAGCCCCCAAACAGGAAATGCAAGGTGAGGCCCTATTGCACCACACCAGCACCACGCTGGCTGCGGCCTGTGCAGCTGCCTAGCTCTGGTCTCTGCAGAGAGGGCCAGAGCAGCAGGTGGGAGTGAGAGGATGCTGGTTATGCACAAGAGGCACTGGATAAATACAATAGTGTATTTAGGTAGGTCCTATGGCCTGCTGATACCTCTCCTATACATAGAGACCAAAGCAATTTTTCCCTTAGGTCTCTAAGGAGACAAGTATCAGGATGTCCAGTGTGTCACTATTTGTAGCAGATGTCCATTGCAGAGGAACAGAAAGCGAAATGTGGTGGATACATACTATAAAATCTTATACAGCAGTTAGAGCAATAAATTCAATGTAAAGCCAGTAACATGGACAGGATTTAAAGGTTTAGTGGTAAGTTAAAAAAATAGCAATGGAATAAGATTTATGGCACAATGTTATTTATGTAATTACTCATTCACACCCAATAACACTAAAAAGTATGTAAAGATATATCTTTTAAAGATATAATCAAATACATATGGAAGACATGTATTTTGTATCTGAGAGAGGTGCATGTGAGTGGGGATTAGAGATGAAGGTGAAAATTAAAACAGCAGGCCTTTGTGTGAACTGATGATAACAACTTGCTGCAATTCAGGAATATGATTCTAATTAATTCTTTGCACCTCAGATAAAGAAATGCAAGTGTACATGGTATAACATAGATGTCAGAGCTTTCTTTTCCCAAAACCATGGGCAGACATCAGCAGATTACTTATTTTATTTCTTCCTAGGTACAGCTCCCTGCCCTTTCTGCCATCTACTGGAGAATTTATATTGTTTGAGACCTATTTTAAAATCAGATTTGGCAAATTGCTTGACCCTTTCAGGAATAAAAATGCAAAAATATTTCAAAAATTTCAGATGAAATTAAGATAGCAATCAAGAATGGAAGAAAAACCCTGGGAACTAATAGTGGAGGTCAGATGGTAATGCTGCTGGAGATTAAACAAGAGTTCCCTGTGCACTCAGAAAGAGAAGAGTCACGGAGGACACCACAGGCAGTCCTATCCCCACTCTCAACACTACCCACAATGCTTAGCCCATGTGGGCTTGAAAGCAGTATAACTAAGAAAGCCAGAAAAACACCTTAAATGATCAGAAGACAGAGCCATAGGGTGAAATTGAAGGACTACATCAATGATTTCCATAAAACATATCTGTGCTAGAAGAATACTTGTGCTCTTGATTAACTTTGTATTTCTTTTATGAATAACTAGAGCTGAGGAATATAATGGTGTTTTTCCTTTTGTCTTTGGCTTCCAGGATATTCAGAATTTAATTTTTGCTCAAAGACAGATATTGAAATAAGGCAGCTAGAGAAAAGGGGGTTGGTTAAACAAAACAAAACAAAACAAAAAGGTAAATACTACAGTATGATGAACCTTGAAATCATTAAACTAATTGGAATAAACTAGACACAGAAAGGCCACGTATATGATTCCATTTGTGTGAAATACCCAGAACAGACAAGTCCACAGAGACAGAAAGCAGGTGGGTGGTTTCCTAGGGCTGGAGACGGAGATGGAGTAGAGAGAGGGGGAGGATAGGAATGACCACAAGCAGGTGTGCAGTTTCTTTTGGGGATGATGAACATGTTCTGAAATTAAATAGTGGTGATGGTTTCACAATTCTGTGAATATAGTAAAAGTCACTGAATGGTATACTCTTAAAGGGTGAATCTTCTGGTAGGTGAATTATATCTCAATAAAGCTGTATGTATATGTTTTTGATATTCAAATTACCTAATAATTATAAGGCATTTACAAAAGTGTCTGGTATATGGTGAGCTCTTGAGGTATAAATCAAAACTACCTAGACTAGAGGTCCCCAACCTCCAGGCCAAGGACCGGTACCAGCTCAGGCCTCTTAGGACCCAGGCCGCACAGCAGGAGGTGAGCTTGAATGCAATGTGATTGAATCATCCAGAAACCATTCCCTTCACCTTGATCTCTGGAAAAACTGTCTTCCACAAAACTGGTCCCTGGTGCCAAAAAGGCTGGGGACCACTGACCTAGACTATTCTCCTTGTCCACAGCAAATATGATTATGTTTGGATCAATCTAACATTAGAACTGGTTGCTTTTCTTATGGACACAATGCTTGTAGTGGTAAGTAACAGGCCAGATGGATGCTGAGTAACAGAGGAAGACCCATTTAAAATTTAAAATGCACATGGGCCATTCATATTAACATAATTAGCATTCAGAATAGTTTATTCATCCACTCTCAACACAGGAGCAATTCCTGTCTTTTTAAAGAGAAGTCACATGAACAAAAAACACAGTGAGGTAGAACTTTGATACAAAACCTAAAAGAGTTATATGAAATGTTCTGTGGAAAAGAGATCCCTAGAAAGTACTCATGTTGAAGAATCTGCAAGAAGGTACAGACCAACAAGGACTCTCTGAGCATTTACTCTTTGTAATGTGGCAAGAGGCTTGGTGAGCAGCCTGTCTACCATGAGCAGAGAAGACCGTGATGGTGATGTGGTGGCAAGGCACTGAGGCCGGGTGCTGGTTGGGGCTGAGGAGGAAGTCGGAATGGGCAGAATAGGAGAGAAAAAAAATCAGGAAAACCAGATGGAACCACCTGCAAAATTCCCTTAGAAAGTGAAACTCTAAGAAACTGAGGGCTATAGTTCAACCCTGTGGTTTTCTGCATAAATATGATTCTCCCTGTGCTGGAAGAGGGAAAATTGCAGGACTGGAGAAAACCAGGGTCCGTTCCTGGTGAGAAATGATGTGCCAATGAAGGTTATTTTAAGGAACACTCTGTCTGGGGAGGGAGAAGTACAAATGCTGAGATTACTGATGGAGGGTAGAGGCAGGCCCAGTGGCTAGCTCTCTTTCAGCAGTTTTCTGTTCTAAATAGACTTCAGCCATCGGGCCCATGTAGACAAGGGAGTTTTCAGTCACCCACACTGATCAGAATCCTTGGGCCTGCAGGGGGCAGGGTGGCGTGAAGGGAAACCCAGTTCCCTGACCTCACATATCCCAGTTGAGGGAGTCAGGACTAGTTCATGTGGCTGTGCTGAAAGAGGAGGGGTGAGAGGGAAGACAGAGGTTAAGAAAAACAGCACTGATTTTTTTAAGTTTTATTTTCTCTACCACTTAGAATTTTTTTAAAAGGAAAAACAGTAAAAATAGAAAAATTACCATTTACATGGCACATTTTCAAAACTGGACTTCCTTTTCCTGTTTCTCCAAAACTGTGACCTAAGTCTTTAAAAAAGGCTCCTGAGAGCCTGGTCTCAGCCACTGGCTGTGCAAGAGATGGTAGCCTTGTTGCAGCAGACATGTTGTTTATGGTTATCCAAACCCAACACCTTCCTTAATGAGAAAGGAAGCAATAAAACAGGAACAGTGGACAGGCCAGCTGGGCTAATCAGCCCTGGCAGGAGGCCCACCTCCAAAAGAAGCTGGAGTCCATTAATTCCAGCATCTCATCTACTCGGAAATCAACCTTACCCAGGACCTCAGGAAGTGTAGTAGCTCTTTAAGAAACTAGAATCGGTCCTCTGTATCATTGGTTCAAAGATTCAGGAAGCTTCTTAAATCTTACATAAGCACAGAGTGCCTCTGCCTCTCTGTTCCATATTATGCTTATAAAGGGACCTGGTTAGAGTTCAGCAACGTTCCTATGTTTCTTTCCATCTTTCTTGTTGGTTTTTTTTAATTGTACAAATGCAGTTGTCTCCATTTTTCCACCACCACTTTCTCCTGCCGCAGTGTGTTTTTCACTCTAAGCTACCTTCTACATTAGAGGAACAGGGGATCATTCCATGCTGCCATCTCCTTCCCCACCGCCCC